ATTATAATAAGATACAAACCACTGTGATTTGTTTGTTTTTGTTATAAAACTAAATGTGAGTTGTCAAAATAAAGTTTGCTTGTTTTAAGTGATGTTTACATTTTTTAAACTTGTATCTGAAAACTGGTAAGCTAATGGTTCTTCTATTACCATGCATTTATCAAGTTGCTATATTCAACAAATAAATCCCCAGGTCCATATAATATTAAATGTCAGCACATGCATATGATGATATAACACATATTTAATATTTCATGTTAGAGTTATTATCATGATGGTGAAATATGTAAATTACCTTAGCACACCTTAAAAGCTCAAAGAGGTAAAATTTGCATTGAAATTTCTATGCAAATGCCATTAATAAGTTCTGCTTGGATTTTGGTACCCTCAGAGAGTTTTACTGGAGAGGTTCCAACACAACTTTCTTCAAATCTAATCAGGATGGAGTAAAAGTAAAAATATAGATAGAGAGAGAGTGAGAGGGAAAGATAAGCTGCAGAAAGAACTATGAGATAATTGACTAGGTTACATATAAGAAGAAACTGCAACAATGACACCCAGAGTACCTTATTTTAGGTTATCCTTTGGTATTTCCTATCATATTTAAAGTCCAAGAGAAAATGTGTACATGCTGAATGTTTCCTGCAGTCTCTGAGAGCTTTATGCACTTCTTTTATGCACTTTCTGTTCCAGGTACTGGACAGACCAATCAGAGTGAAGCATTACTGGACCTAATGCTCACCAATATGGAGGAGATCATGAAAAAGGTAAAGATCAGAGGCAGTTTGGGCTGAGTGACCATGCCCTAGCTGAGTTCATGATCTCGAGGAATACGGGCCCAGCAAAGAGCAGAGGCAGGATCCTTAACTTCAGCGAGCAAACTTCAGGTTGTTTAGGAAATTTATGGATGAGATCCACTCAGAAATGATCCTTAGGGACACAGGAGCAGAACAGAGCTGGCAGCTCTTTAAGAATACTTTTCTGTGAGCATTAGAGCTCTCCATCCAAACCATAAGAAATCAAGCAGAGGAGGCAAGAAACTATTATGGCTGAGTAAGGTTCTGCTGATCAAAAGAAGGGGATGATGAAATTATACAATTTTACAACAGTTCATGAGGTGGAAGCAGGAACAAGCAGCCTAGGAATAATACAGGGATGCTGTCTGGATATTCAGAAATGTGATCAGTAAAGACAAAGTGCAGGTGGAACCATACTTGGTGAAGGGTCCAAAATAAAAAGAAGGTACTACACTGATCAGACAGGCAAAGGAGAGAATACTTCCTTTGATAAATGAAAAGGGAGAACTGGCTTCAACAGACACGGAGATGGCTGAGGCACTCAACAAGTTCTTTGCGTCAGACTTCATCAGCAGTCAGGTGTTCCATGCCTCTCACATCTCTGAACTTCTAGGCTGGAGTTAAGAGAGGCCTATCCACCTCAATTATAAGAACAGAGCAAATCAGAGACTAACTTATGAGACAGAATGTGTGCAAGTCCATGGGGCTGAACTACATGCATCCCAAGGTCCTGAAGGAAGGGCAACTAATGCCATCTCCGCAGGCTTCTGCAATGCCTTTAACTTGGAGAGGTAAAGATTTCAAGTCTGGACTATTAGGTGAATAAAGAATCGGTTTGATGATCACAGCTGTGGGGTTGTAGTCAGTGACTCTACGTTCAGGTGCAGGCCAGTGATGAGTGGTGTCCCTCAGGGTTGCAGCTTCAGACTTATGCTCTTCAACAACTTTGTCAATGACACAGATATTGGAATTGAGTGTACCCGTACAAAGTTTGTGGACAATGCTGAGCTGAGTGGTGTAGTTGACACAAAAGAAGGAAGAGATGCTATACAGAGGGAGCTGGACAGAGTTGAAAAGCAGGCCCACATGTGAGGTTCAAAAAGACCGAGTACAAGGTGTTGCACTTGGGTTGAGGCAATCTCAGATATGTGTACAAACTGGGAGAACTCACTGAGAGCAGCCCTGCAGAAAAGGACTTGAGGATCTTGGTAGATGGAAAACTTAATATGAGCCAACAGTGTGCACTTGCAGCTCAGAAAGCCAACTGCATCTTGGACTGCATCAGCAGGGGTGGTAGTAGGGAGAAGGAGGTGACCTTCCCCCTTTGCTCTGCCCTTGTTAGGTCCCATCTGGGCCCTGCATCCAGGTCTGGAGCCCTCAGCACAGGAAAGACATGGAGTGGTTGGAGCGGGTCTAGAGCAGGCCACAAAGATGACCAAAATGCTGGAGCACCTCTTCTGTGCTGTGAAGAAAGGTGGAGGAAGCTGGGCTTGTTTACAATGGAGAAGGCTCTGCAGAGACTTATTGTGGCCTTCCAATTCTTGAGGAGAGCTTATAAGACTTTTTGTATGATCTGATAGTGATAAGGGGGAATGGCTTTAAACTAAAAGAAGGGAAATTTAGGGTGGATGTTAGGAAGAAACTTACTCCTCAGAGGATGAAGATGCACTGGAACATATTGCCCAAAGAAATTGTGGATGCCCCACCTCTGGAGACCTTTAAGGCCGTGTAGAATGGCATCCTGGGCAGCCTGATATGGTGGGTGGCAAACCCTCCTGATCAGATGGGTTGGAACCAGGCGATCTTTAAGTTAAGCTAAACCAGTCTGTGATTCTATGATTCTGTGAAATCCATGAAAAACACTTAACGAAAATCAACAATATATTATGGTTGATTAGACACAATGCTGCATTTTCAGAATTTGGCTTTTCAAAAACTGTAGATCATGAAGAAAAAAAATAACAAAATTTTTGAGACTTCATTTGAAGAGAGAAAAATCCATGTTTCACAATTATGAAAATATGCACATACATTATTCTTAAGTTCCTTAACTGAGTTACAGTATCATCATGGAAACATCTATAAAGGAGTAAAATCTTATATACCTTCATAAATGCTCCCTTTTCTTTATTTTTAGTCCAGAAGACTTCAATGATTTTCTTTTAATCTTATTCTGGACCACATATTTCCACATATGGAACTTCCCTGGAAAATGCTATAAATTCATACACTCCTTTTATTGCAAATATCTTTCAAATGAAGACAAGGCCTAGAACAAAGACATGTTTTTTTCCCCATGAATCACAATGGAAAAGCCTGCTAACCTCACTTAACTGCCCACAGAGAAAGAATTCCATACTTGAACTAAAGAGCCTTTGGATTGACATCCTGTTTTATCTTTTCTTAGCATAAAATTGCTTTCTCAGGGATTTACTGTTAAATCAGATGTTGAAAATAATTGTAGGGTTTTTCTTTATTTATTTTTATTTATGTTATGAATGGATAACCGTGTAGATCACTGCTAAAAATTTTGTTGTCCTAAGACTTGATGTGTCCACAGTAAGGTTCACAGAAATAGAGAAAGACAGAGTTCATTTTCTATCATGTGAAGTGCAAACCAAAAGGGAATTTCTGCCATTGGGTCCTGCACTTTTATACATGCTGTGATTCCTCCAGCTCTGCATAGGAAGGCTGGATGATAAGAGCATGTGGCATCTCAAATACGCAAGCAGAGCTATTCTTCATCTTCAGTCTCTTACAGCCTTGGACATGCTCTCCCTATGGGGATCTTTCCAAAATTCACATACTGTGCTCTCCATGGGGACCAGCCTTCTGTCTCCTTACCTCATCCCTGGAGTAGGCAGGAGATGTCCTCTCCACCACCTCTAGTGACAACTTTGATTTCCCCCCTCAAACAACTTCTTGAAGCTCTCATTGAGTTTTTAAAGGACGTGTGCACCAACTCCCTTTCTCTGATGTTCTGTCCAAAAGGGCTTCATCGCTGTTTCCTTGTCTGTCCTCATATCTTGAAAGGTTACAGCTTTCCTTCTTCTCCTGTCTCAGCATTATTCCTGCAGAACTTTTCTTCCAATCTCTTACATTTTTCCTCTCCCTCCTCCCACCCTATGTCATAAAATTAGAGACTGGAACTCACTAAACAAAGTATTAGTGTTAGAAATTGAATAACGTTCAGAAAGAGACTGAATGAATATGCATAATTTATATGGACACCCAAACCAGTCAAAGTTATCAAAGTGAAGAGCAAAACAAATAACTCAAGTTCATTTCAAAAACAAAGCCTACACAAACCCTACAGACGTAACAACTCTGATGTTTCAGGGTTTAAACTAACGAGGATTAGGATGAGACCTAAAGCAGAGTGCAGGTAATCCTACATCTGCCTAAGGCAAAGTTTCTTGCAACTTCCTCTATTTGTCAAGTGTCCAAAAAAGATTTACTGGAATAAATGGATTTGGGTTTTTGTCCCATGAACAGTATTGCTCCAAAAAGGGTGTCTGACTGTTTCCTGCTCAGTTTCTCCTGTCTTTTCCCCCTGGATCTTCAAACTCCATGACTTCCCCTTGCCTTCCTCACTTCATCCCTCTAATCTCCATCGAGTGTCTATATTAGTCTGAGTGGCTGGGATAGGTCTCAGCCTCCATCTGGGGTGATTAAACTTAATTTATCTTCTTACCTCAACAACAACTTCCTCATCGAATCCTCTGCTTATCTTGCTCCAGTACTCGGCTACCCCTCCAACCCCATCCCTCGCAGGGAATCCGGGCAGGAACCCTAAGCGTCAACGGACCTCCGGAGCGACGAACAGCCAAACCGGGGTCTCGGAGGAGAGCAGAGGGCCGAGGACATCCCAGGCTCAGGGGCGGGGTTCCGCGTGGCCCCGCGGGGCGCCGGGCGAGGGACGGCACCGCGGCGTCGCGGGGCTCGGGAGCTCGGAGCTCTCCGGGCCACGGACCGACGTCGTCCCGCGGGGAGGTGCGAGCCGAGCCTCGCGCCGCCGCCCACCCCGGGGGCGGCTGTAATCCTATCAAAGGGCCGGCCCCGGCCTCCTCCTCCCCCGCTTCCCTTCCCGACCCTGCTCCCCGAGAGGGTAAAAGCCGCTCCGCTGCGCGCCGCGCCCTCCTGGCCCTGCTCCCCGTCCGGCTGCCGCGCAGAGGGGACGCCGGCCTCGGCCCCCGGCCTGGGCGGCGGGGGAACGTGGAGCACATGGAGGTGCCGGGCCGCTGTCGCCTTGCCTCGCTGCTGCTGCTGCTGGCTTCGTGCATCGGCTGCACGGCCGCGCCGCGGAGGAGCATCCCCCGGCGGCAAGGTAGGGATTCCCGCCGGGGATGCGGCGGGTGCTCGCGGAGGGAGACAGACTGCTCCGAGAGCTCCGAGAGCTTCGGCTTGAGCGCTCCGCGAAGTTTCGGGTCCCTTTACAACTGGCGTTCCTTGGAGCACCCTTCCCTTGGGCCGGGCGGGAGCGTCCAGTCGGGCGACTCCGAGCACTGAAAGAAGCCGGAGTGCTGCCCCGAGCCTCGTCCTGCTCCCCGACCTGCCCTCCCCATCGGGGAAGTGGCGGGATCAGCGACCCCTTCTCTCTTATTTTCCGTACGATAACTCAGTTTACTGACCGAGACCCGGCTGAAGCCATGAGCTAAACGCTGCTTGTGTTAGCCGGAGCCCTCAACCTGCTTGCAGAGGTGGGAGGCGGTTGCCCAGTGCTGTCCTTCTGGCTGCAGGGCTGTCCTCTGGCTGTGGCAGGGACTGTGGTAGATAAAGTGTGTGTGTGACAAAGACTAGAGTATGCGAGAGAAAATAGCTGAGGAAGCAGTAATTTTATCAGAAAGCTGTACTTTATTGTGTACTGAGTGCGTCATTGGGTTCTTCACGATGCTGCCTCTCTGGCCGAGCGCTAACTGCGACCCAACCAGGGAGTTGCCGCTGGTGTCAAAAGGGTTTTGCACTTTAATCAAAGTAGTCGTTAGCGTTCGAAAGCTCGGAGCCTGGGCTCTGAGCGGCGTTTTTAGCCCCTGCAGTCTGCAGCCTGTGAAACAGCGAAGCGAGATGTAAACATTGAGATGGGACATGGAGAGTGGTGAAGTCAGGCATTCTGATACTCAGAAATGGTGTTGCTTAGGGGAAATGCTGATGCTCCAAAAGGTCTCAAAGTTGGAGACTATAGTGCAGTCTTTGGGGTCAGTGCTGATCTTATCACTGATTTTACCAGGATAAGATCAGCGGGAAATTTAATAAGTTTAGTGAATTTTGCCTCAGCTGACAAAATCACAGAATCAGACCCGTTTTGCATTCTGTGTTGGTGTTTTTTCTTTCTTTCTTTCTTTCTTTCTTTCTTTCTGTCTTTCTGTCTTTCTGTCTTTCTGTCTTTCTGTCTTTCTGTCTTTCTGTCTTTCTTTTCAGAATCAGTGCTGTGCATTCTTTTGCTCTTGTGGAATAAAAACAACAAACACAACAATATGCCAGTGCAGCTGGAAACTTAATACTTAAATACAGCCTGATCTTAAAGCGCTTACTGGACAGATGGCTAATTTTACTGGTCTGACCTTGTCTCTTAGGGATCTAGTCCCATGATCCTTGGTTGTCATAATAGCCACAATTAACTACTTAAGAAAATTAGGTGGAAGGTAGCTGTCAATGAGATGATTAGCAGCTTGTATTAAAGTACTGGGCTTGTGAAGCTGGGCATGGAAAAGTGTAAACTATATTTAAAGACTTTTAAATAATTTAAAAACTGTTTTTATGCTAACATACTAGCCCAACTTGCACAGTTGAATAGTACTAGTGGAAACGTAGTCCTATGCATTAAACTATTTTAGAGCTTGGAAACAAATTACTTATGGTTTTGTGGAGGAGATTAATTTAACACACTGACATTGTGTGTATCTTACTTTTGTTAGCTCCGTGTATATATGTTACTTAATGTGTACAGATTGATTCAATCATTTTTTTTCTATTTCTTTTTCCATGTAAGAAGTAACCAGTTTTATCTGGAAACAGTTTTTTTTCAGAATGTAAACTGTAAATGTGTAAACATCTGAAAATCCTCTTGTAGCAAGATTTGAAGAGGAAAGTCTTCCAGAGTGCAGCAGTACTCCATCTGCATCCTCCCACAGGCTGTTGGATGTATAGGATTCCTTGAGCCCTGCAGCTGGGTTGCATTATTATTGATGCACTGAGCACATGTGTATCAAGGTATCAAGGTTTCTCACATCTCTGTCTTGTTCCTGCTGCTGATCATATGCTGGATGGCTAAGTGCAAGACGGAGCTGTGATTTATTTGCACATCCCACAGCAGTGGATGAAGAAGAGATAAGATAGAAAGTTCTTTAAGTTTGGTGTGTTTCTTATTCAGCTTTCACTGTGCCTTTTTAATCGTGGTGGAAGTGGGTCTTGTACAGGAGCAGTATCTGGGGTGGAAGCCAAAAGTCTCACTGAGAGATGCAATAAAACTGGTTCATCTTCAATAATGAGCTGGCCAGCAGTTCTCTTGTGTCAGAAGAGATAGTCAAATACACTTCTGTTTTTCCACATTTTTCATTCAGGACTCACCTTACAAAGGCCAATCTTTCAGAAAGCAGTAGTCAGAAATGTATTAGTGAAGTTAAAATACATAGCAACATTGCCACAAATGCAGTTTGTTAAACTTCAGGAAAAAAGCTGTTGTGCTCAAATTCATAACATCCTGGTGACTGTTAAACTCATTTGAGCGTTTATTTACAGTTACAAGATTCATTCACTGCAGACAAGGAAATGGGATGCCAGACACTTTGGGAAGGGCTTAAAACAAATCCTTAGACATCGTGTGATGAATAGCGTAGTTGGGAGCAGATTAGGTGGGGATTCTCTAAATCTTGTTCTCCCTGAAGCTGGCACTTGTGCTGTTTTCTTTTTTTTGGTTTTTCGGGTTTTTTGTTTGTTTGCTTGTTTGTTTTCTTTTGATTTTGCCTTCTGCAACAGCTTCTTGCTACTTCTGCTTCAAGAATCAGTCAACTTGGACTGGAAAGGGTAAAGCTGGTCTGCAGTGTGTAACACTGCTATTGATATAAACATATCATTGGATTTTAGTAGTTGTATGATTTTAGGGAATTATAGCAGGAAAAAAATGGTAGCTGATTTCCCGTGGATATTCATGGCATGAACTTGTTGCACTATGCCGTGACTTTATTTTGTTGGTATCACGGGGTAAAATTCAAAAGCCCCGTAAAATATTTAACTTGAGTTGGACTGCATGGAGAAAATCAGATATTATTTTCTGATGCTTTGGGATTTATTATTATTATTATTATTATTATTACATTTTTTGATGAGTGTAAACAAAGAACTGGGCTAAAAATTTCCTATCTTGTGTCAATTTCCCATAATGGTAGATGTCACTGACTAGCTCTGCGAATGCAGAGAATGCAGGTGTGTTAAAGTCTGAAGGAGACTGTACAAGATTGTGATATTTCATATCAGGGTCAGATTTTCAAAAGAGCCTAGCTCACAGGTCAGCACTACAGTAAATGACTTTTTTTTCCAAAGGACTTGACCTGCAGTAGTAGAATTATTTAGACAATCTGGCTATAATAAAAGCTGCTGGATGTGGAACACTTTTGAAAATCTAGACCTGTTTAGATATCAAAATAGGTCAAGGTACCTTGACAATCCAGTCTACATATGTGGAAAATGCAGCTACCTTTGGGAAAAGTTTCTGTTTTGTTGATTTAATTATTACAAATTTTGGAGCAACATTAGAATGAATTTTAAGTCACTGTCTTAAGAAATCTTGCCTGTAAAGGATAAGGTTGAACTGGTGCTGAATAGAAAACCTATCCAAGAAGAGAAATAAGGGTAAAGTAAGTTGATGCCTGTTGCCAGGGCTGCGTTGCTGGCAGAGGTGGTTCATATGTGTGAGCTGAAACTAGTGAAGAAGTTGTGAACAATATATCTGGCGGGAGATTAATATCACTCTTTTATTGTTTCTGACATAGGTCAAAGCATGTGGTATCAGAATATTCTGTTCAGTGTCTTGAACATCAATAAATTTAAAGAAGGAGTAATTATGCATGGATTTGTTGGTTGTTTACTGTGTTTGGGTGCAACTTATGTCACAACACCGTAGGGCATTTTTGGATTGGATTTGTGTTGTAGTGCTAGGGCTCATATTCTGGTAATTGCTCCTGCCTTTGATCAGTATCGCTGACACCTCGTGCATGTGTTTCTTTGGGAGCTACTAGATTTCCTTAATACCCTCTGGAGAAGAAAATATAATTTTAGCAGGGAATGCACAGAATTATTTCACTTCAGATGTTTCTTGATATCTCACTATTAGTAGCTCATTTTGAAGTACGTTGTGGAGTCCTCAGTACAGGAGACATGGACCTGTTGGAGTGTGTCCAGAGGAGGGCCACAAAAATGATCCAAGGGATGGAACACCTCTCCTATGAGGACAGCCTGAGGAAATGGGCTGTTCAGCCTGGAGAAAAGACAGCTCTAGGAAGACGTGAGAGTAGCCTTTCAGTATCTAAAGGGCAGGCAGGAAGAAGGAAAAAGACAGACTGTTTGGCAGAATGTGTTGTGACAGGACAATGGGAAGTGGTTCCAAACTAAAAGACGGGAGATTTAAATAATATGTAAGTAAAAAGTTTTTGCAGTAAGAGTAATGAAGCACTGGAATTGGTTGCCCAAAGAGGTGGTGGATGCCGGGTCCCTGAAACTGAATGTCAGGTGTATAGGGCTCTGAGCACCCTGATCTAGCTGTAGGTGTCCCTGTTCATTTCAGGGGAGTAGGACTAGGATACCTTTAAGTGTCTTTTCCAACTCAAACAATTCTATGATTCCATGATTTTATTCATCACATGTTTTCTGTTCTGTCCATCCTGAAATCGCTGTCTTCATCTGTAAAAGGAAACTTTTCAGTGAATGAGTGCTTCCAAAACTACTGTACCACCTTCCACCAGTGTTGAGAAAGGCAAAATTAGACAACAGAGTGCTAACAATGGGTGAAATTATAGCTGCATAAGAGGTTGGTTTTCCCAGTGATTCTTTGTAGAAGAGTAGTGATGTTGGAGTTAAGGCATTAGGACGAGCCTTGGGAAATCATCCTGTCCTGAGGCTGTCAGAGATTTGCTTTGAGGGTTTGCCAGTCATTCTCAGCAGGCTTCCCATTTTAAAAAATGGAGAGGTTTTGCACTTTTATTCTTCTCCAGTCATGCCACATAAGATTGTAAGAGGACTAGGAGCATAGCTGAACCCCCTTTTTAGTCAAGGCTGATAGGTGTTACCTTATTGTGTGTTACCTTATATGTATGTTAGTGACTCCTTGTCTTC